GTCCCTTGAGTGTGCTCATAACCATTGGGTGTGGTTCCCAAATAGATAGCCTCATGACAAGCTGTCACATGTTTCTAAAGTAAAAATAGTTCACACAGGAATTTTGAAACTTAACTGCTGTTCCAAACTAAAAATATAATCATTTTAAAGCATGCCAAAAAGGTAAATAACTTCATATTTATGTATTTTTTTTATTTTTCTGAGACATTTGTCAATGCAAAATCTAACCAAAAAGGAATTTCTCTGGGAAAAAAATTGATTTTAATCCCTCCGTTAAATGGTAATCAAAAGATTTCCAAATTGCTTGAGTTCATCATTTAAAGTATTTACTTTAAAGACATGCTAACTCTACTTTAAACATATCCCCAGTCCTTTCTCTAGAAGAAATTATATTCTCCATAAAAAAGCAAGAAAAAAGCTCATGGTACTTCCACAGAGGTAGGCATAAGCCAATGGGTCAATGTGTGTGTGTGTGTGTGTGTGTGTGTGTGTGTGTATACATATTTATATATATATGCACATATATATGTAGATACATATATATATACATATACATATATATGCAAACAAATTTTAATAATTGATCCCTTTTTCATAAACCTAGAACATAGGGGCTGGGGCTGGGGCTGGGACTCAGTGGTAGAGTGTTTGTCTATCACATACGAAGCAGTGGGTTTGATCATCAACACCACATAAAAATAAATAAATGTCTAACTATAATTAAAAAAAAACTATAACATAGTATATGTTTGCATATGTATGTATATACATTTCTTGCTGGATAAATTAATAAGTTTCAATGAAAAGTTCCCTTCACTTGAATTTTGGAAAGTCTAAGCCATATATTGGGCATGTTAGAAAATCATGTGTTGGCCAATTTTTAAAGGTTTTGGCTTTTTTTAAGTATAAATATAATCCATGGCTGCAAAACATTTAATGTTATTATCCAAATTATAAGAATGATATTTGTTATTTGTATTTTATTTTTAATTTCCCTATAGGCTAAGTTTTTGATGTTTGAAAAATTTTATACAACTCAATGTCTATTTAAACACAAATAAACTCATTTAAGATATAATTTGGCCATTTCAAGGTACTGATGTATTTGAAACTCATTTAGGACAATATGAAATGCAGAATGGGGCCACAATATTGAAATCTGATTTGGGGCTCCTGGATATGGACTAGATGTGACTGGACTGTATTTTCAGGCAGATTAATTGATGTTCTTCAACAAAAAGCATTCCAAATACAACTCTCCCACTCAATAATAGGAATAAGCATTTTATATTTGAAACAGAATGTAGACTCTTAGATGAGATTAGTAGAATTCAGTCTGCTTGTTCTATACGAGATATGCCTAGAGGAAGAAACAGTAAGCATTTACATAGGCACATTAGATTCACTACAAAACTATAAGTTGCTTCTTTGAAGCACATCACCAGAAGAAATAGCCTGACTTCTAATTTTGTACCCACTTGCCAAAGAGTCATTCATAACCTTCATCCATCTCTAGATGGTACTTTGGATGCTGGGTGAATGACAGCATTGTCATCATGGAAATGTTTAGCCCTTAGGCTTTACCTAAGTAGGGTCAGTCATGAAAGATGAGAGACTTTCTTTCTTGCCAATATCCCTTCTTTGAATACTGTTCAAATTCAATTATTTCTCATTTCCTATGCCAACTTAAGATCATGAAACTCTTCTGGGGAAATTGTAAAGACCATCCATCTGACAGAACTGCTTATTCTGTAACAAACACCTCAACATGCCTACTCTTTAAATGTGGGATAGGGATGGGGAGACACAAGACAGTGAAAATTCATGGTACTCCTATAACTAGAAAAGGAAATCAAAGCAAGCCAGAAACTGATTAACTACAGATTTGTGATTTGGGCGAAGAAAAAAATGAAGGTTTTTTTTTTTTCTTCCAACCAAAATGTTCAATTTCATCTCTCCAGTATTAAAGATATGGTTATATGCCCATTAATATTCCAATAGATCAGGCCGTTCTAAGCTTCATCAGTTCTTTTAGTCCAATAGGTAATGACATCATTGGATGTCACAAATTCACAAGGGATAAACTTTTGGAATTACCACTGCTTTTTCCCTCAGATATTTCCCAAGGAAGAGTGGGTGGGGTACAGGGTATCCACCCCCATTTTGTTTATTTCTTAACGAATTCATTTACTGACAAAAAAGAAGTCTATCTACTAGAACCAATCTATATCATCAAATTTGAGGACACCATCTTTAAATGCTGTTTTATTTTAAATAATAGGACTTGAATGGGCTGCCTGAGTTCTTATATTTTAATGTAAATTAAATACCAAGTTAAAGGAGAGTGAATTCATGGAAAATTATCAAAGTTGTCCTAATTGCCTTATAATGTCACCATGGCAGTCCAAGGGTATCTTAAGTGGGTGCCATGTATCAGTGATTATCTTGAGGTTGAATCTAGCTTGTTATTTAAGTAACAAGATCAGAATGTTGTCTCTTGTTTTGTAGGGCTCTTTATTTACTCTTTCTCTCTCTTTCTTTCTTTCATTTTCTAAGTACTGTATCCCCAGCACTATGTCATGCCATATAGCAGTTGTTCAATAAGTATTTATTTAAAGAATGAAGTGGCTATTTTAAAGATTGTTGTATTTTCACCTTTTATTTTCCTGCTTTTATTGTCATTATGTTGCAGATTTGGTCGGTGACTGAGGTAAATGTGAAGAGAAAAATTAAAATTAGTAAATATTAACTAAAGTTAGTAGGACCACCTTTTTCAGATAGAAACCAAGGGTTAAAAAAAATTGAACACAAGGAGTATGCAGGTAAGTCCAGGGCAATGGTGCTGTTCTGACTCAAAAGACTGCCATTCTGATCATATCCATGAATCAGCAAGCACCATTTGCCCATCCAACAAGGCGTAGGACCCCCTGCAAGGCTGCAGCTGGCCAATCAGCAGGCACTTTTACAGCCTACGGCTCAGCCACACTCGGTGACAAACATAAAGGATACCATGAGCTTACTTCTCAAAAAGCAAAACAGTATCTCGGCATATTCAGAGCATCAGAGAATCCACAGCTCTCTTTTCTGTAACTCATGCTCATCCATTATATACCACCTTTGACATCACGATGTTGGACCTGCCTAAGTCTGGATTTGTGCACCTCACGTTCCATAGCCCAGTACCTCCCTTGTCCCAGGATTCATCACAATATGCCAAGACGTCTGTTTAAACTCTGTGGGTGCCCTCAGCGACTGTTCCCACCTTCTTTGCAGCTGATGCCAGTTTCACAAAATGGAGTGAAGGAAGGAGGAAAGGGAATGAGGACAAGAAAAACAGGCAGTAAAGGGTGGAGGGGAAACCCTTTAGTCAACTACAGAGCAAAGGGATGTTCTGAGGATTACTTCCCTCTGAAAGAGCAGTTACAGTTCTACTATTCTTGCTAACAAGAAGGAAAAGCCTTCTGATTAGTAGCAAAAAACAAATCTCACACTGCTGTCATGTACCAACCCTGTGCATGTGCACATGCATATGCTAGAAGCTAGGGTAATGGCCAGGTGGAGCCCATAGAGTATTTTCCAACATCCCACAAAATGATTAGGAAAAAGCCTGCCTTAAGTGTTTTTAAAAATAAGTTTCTCCAAGCTGGGCCATGAGCTTTATCAATAATTTTTGCCCTTGCCCTGTATAAGGAGGACAGAACCAGTTGTTCAACTCTGGATGTTATTATACAATTTAACTCCTTAGTTCCTGGTGTTAAATTTTCCTGGCTGTCAGCACATATCAATGTAAATCATAACCAAAACCCCAAACATAATTAAAAGGCCCCTCCAAGGGGGGAGGGGCAAGAGAACAAGGGCCAGTTCCAAGTATAGCTTGCCAACCGCTTTTCAGATATCCAGTAAGTCTACTGATTTTTTAGTTGAAATTAAAATTTTAAAAATGTTTTCCAGAATATAGGCTGGAATATACTTGGAGAACAAAGAGAATTCTAAGTAAGAATATTTTCTTGCGCTTTTAGACAAAATAGCAAAGAAGCCTCACAATAATTGTCTGACCTAAGAACCAGATGTCTGTCTAGCAACCTGACAGCTGGTGGAGGATACAGTAAAAAGGAAAAAACACATTAAGAATACTTATTTTCACTTTCTTCCCAAAGAAAATGATAGAAGAGCCTACTTCTTATTTCTTCATGTTCTTTCCTGGGGAAGAAAAGGCCATATCAAAAAATATTTCCTAAAAACCTAAGGGCAACCACAGAGGCATGCTGCAAGTAAAATGCATTCATACATACATATATTTAAATCACACTCTTAAGGCACTGTTTATACATTTTTGACCAAACTCTCTGTGGCCAGGGTCATTCTACAAACCTGAATCCTACATTCTACAAACATGAATTTTGGACTGTGTACTAAAGGAGGTAGAGACAATTTATTGTTATAATCCCTTCCCATTCCACTTTTAAGAATAAAACATCAACTTAAAAATGCAAAATGCCTATGGATGCATGTGGGTATTCTATTAGTGTGTAGACCACACGACACACACTTGAGAGGTGTGGCTAATACATCTTTTCAATCCATATGGCATATTCCCCACCCCCACCACTTCATCACCCTTTCGTGCAAGTGACCACGCACAGTAGATCTAAATTTGGCACATTTCAAGGTCAAGTGATGCAGCAAACAGAATTTGACCTCGAACAATATGCCTTTGTCCATTCACCCATCCTCATAAATGTGCACACACTCCACATTTTGCTTGCTGCAAGTTCATAAATCTTCATCCCAGATTACTTATTTCTTCATCAAATACTTATAGAAAAGAAAAGACATCTGGATGTGTTTGTTCCTCCACTCCAGCCCCCACACCTCCCCAACCCTTCAATACATACACACAGCTGTAAGAGCAAGGAGAGTATTTTTAAAATTCCATTGGTTCATGTAGGCACAGAATCTGAAGCAGCTCCAAAATGGACATCAAGTAAAAAAATACCAGTTTTCAAAAGTCTGTAATTATGTATTTACACAAATTACATAATCCTGTATGTATTTACATACAATTACAGATTATCAAGTAAATAACACAATGTTGTAGTGTTAATGAGATGAAATAGTATGAAAACACCATCAACGGAAGCTATTCATTTATCTACAAAACAGGACCTGGCAGAGCAGGTTCCCCAACACTGACCTGGCAAGTCCTTCAGCACTGTTTGAGGACATTTGCATGACAGATGGAAAGGTGGTTCAGTCCATGCCGGGTAAGTCTTTTGACCGTGGTGCAAGTGTTGGCACCAACAAAATAGTGGTTTGGCTATCTGAGCATCTGTTTATGAAACTGGAACCACCCATTCCACAATGGCTCAGGGCTGCCATCCAAAAGGCTTTGGGTCTCTTACTACAAGAACCAGATGCAATCCTATAAACTAGAGATGACTCTACTGCCCAATAGGACAATGCCCACAACAAAACCCTGAGACATCTACTCTCCCAGGAGGCCTATTTACATAAATTGCATAAGTCAATATTTATTTATTTACAGACCATTACAGTTTATTTTATCAATTGCCAAAAGCATATAACATTTTGCTTTTCTTAAAAAAAGAAAAAAAAAGGTACCAAAGCAAAATAACTCCAAAAGTAGACATTAAAGTAGCATTTTCTAGGAATGCATGGAGATTTGAGTCTTTTTCACAATTCTTTTTCCCTCTTTTAGACCAATTATCTGGAGTCTCGTGCTACTTTAAGATTACTTTTGGCTGTCTTCTAAAATCAATTTCTTCAGTGCTAAATATTATACCGATGGCATCCTAGAAACTTGATTCTTCCCTGTGGTCAAATGTTTAATTCTTTTTAGCAAAGAAAAAAAATTAAATGTCTTTTGGAAAAACTAAAGCCTGAATATGTGCACATTTTAGCAGCAGCAAAGGGTTAAATAATAAATAAGAACAGTACTTCTTAGAATTAAATGCAGTTCTGTTTAGAAAGTAAAAGGGGGAAAAAATCCCAAGAAAATAAATGAAGAGGACATTCTGATCCTTATCATAAATCAACTATTTTACAGTGCCTCTGTTCCCTCCCTCCAAGACAATTCTCAATCCCAAATATTAGACTTAGCTTCTCTTTAATGCACATCAGCAGGAGTGCATTACCCCATACTCCAGCTTGGACCATAGAAGGCTACGTGTATTTGCTCACGACAGTAAATCATGCGCTTCTCGTTCATAACAGCTTTAACTTGCCAGTGACATGCTTTTATTTTTCATAGAGAATGTGCATCCGAGCAAAACAAAATCAGAATATTAAATTTTAAAATTAGTTACATAAATCCCAACACATTTTTTTAACTGTCACTTTCAATTTCCCAATGTAACTGGCTAGAAAGTGTTGTGTGTGGATGAGAATTTGTTATAAATTCCTTTTTTTAAAATATTGCTTTAAGAATTTGGCTCTTTTCACCTTAGTATATAGTAAGAAATAGTCTTCCTTGCCCAAGGGCAAGTTCCAAAATTATTGCTACCAAAGAAATACATATTCTTATGCTTTTCAGAATAAAATGGTATAAAAGCCTTGTAAAAGACATTCTATATAGTAACCTCCCCTCTAAAAAAATTGGGTGCTTGTGAAAACCATTTTTAAAAACAAAATACAGTCAATGAGTATAATAATTTCCCCCTCATTGTCATTATTGATAAAGATTTATTGTTTTCATGTTGCAAGTTTTACTTGAAGGGGTGCTATTACCATGTAATTATGACATTCACACTGAAAGCAATTCTCTAAAAAAGATGTTACAATGACCCCTATGGTACGTGTATAATTTCATATTTGATAGCCAAGTGCACAAATAAAAACTTACAAGAATGATCCTGTTAATCTGACTCTTATCTCTTAAAAAAGTCTGAGCTATGTACGCTTGTTTATTTTTTCCTTCCTTGCTTAAGAATTCTAAATCAGTACAATGTTTGATATTAATCCTGTTGTTCTGGAGGTGGGCTAAAATAAAAAGCATAGTTATTGTTTAGCTTTGGTATATTTTGCAATAGACTTAAACAAGTAAGACATATACCAACCCTCATATTTTCCAACCATGAAGTTACAGTGATGGAGTCACTGATGAAAGAGGAAAATTACAGACACAGAATAAAAGGTTGAGACCCAGTTTATCTTTAATCCTCTGGGATAAGCTATGAAACAAGCAGTCTGAAGAGTGAATACTCAGTGTCATGAGCGATGTGCATAAGTTTACAATAATACGGGCACAAAATAGATTGTCGCCTTTAGTACATTAGGGTCATTAGAATTTCTCATATCCATGCACCGTTATACCTACTTGCATGAATTACCACAGGTTCATAGCGGACTTTGCCATTTAATGCTTACAGAGCCTAAAGCTTCCAAAATGCCTATCTGGCCTGTACATATTTCATTAAAAATAAACTCTATATAATAAATAAATATATAAAATAAATAAAATGTTGCCTTTGGAATTTCTATAAATAAATTTAACTTTTTTCTTTTTTTTCTTTTTTTCGCCTTTTTTTCTTTTTTCTCTTTTTTTTTCTTTTTTTTTTTTTTTTTTTTCTTTTTTTCCTTTTTTTCTTTTTTAACTAAGAGGTCTTTGCTTTAAGTTCACTGGGATGATACCAGTGAGAATTAACTGAAAAAGTCTTTTAAGTAAGACTGCACCCTCCATGCCTTTGAAAATGCAGCGTACCCTTGCGCAGGCCACCAGCCAAAAATCCTGATGAGTCGAAGTATGGCAGCTGTGCTGATATAAGATGAAGTACAACTGATCAAAATTTAAAAGCGTGTCTATTTCCCAGCATGCATCAGGCCATTGTCCTCTTTGCTTTCTGACTCTCCAATTTCTCCTGCTATTCACCCACTCACACACTCACACCCCTCTCATTCAGTCTCTCTCCCCTTATTTCACAATAAATCAAGCAAGTGGCCCTAGGCAGCCCTCCAGGAGGATCAGCCTTTAAGTGCAGAACAAAATCAGCATGTTCCCATCCAAGCTTCCATCATACATTATGCATGCGACAAAGTTTGGCAACAGTGGAGCTGAGGTGATGACACAGCTAATCAATAAGAACCCACCGCATGAAACCATTTATAGTGGTTACTTTTTTAAGGGCTCAAGTGAAGAAATTGTCTTTGTCAACTTTGGCTTAGAATATCCTTATATAGTTCAGGTACTTTGTCAGGGTCCACTGGTCTAGGTAAAAAATGTGTGAATTTCTGGTGCCTTTTAGTCCTGGTCCCTTCTCTTGGAGTCCCGTCTTTATTTAATGCAACATAGTATCGCCTTCCAGTGTCCACGTGTTTATATAGATTCGATGAGTACGTGTTATACCAATTTTCTTCAAACTGTTCTCTGAATACACACTCTTGGGTTAGTTTTTCCTGTTAAAAAATAAAAAGAAAATAAATACATTGCACGATTAGCTACTTTCTATATTAAAAGCAATATTCCATTTTGCACAAAGCAAGTTGAGTATCTCTTATCCAAAATGCTTGGAAACCAATAGTGTTTGGGATTTTTTATTTTCTTAGATTTTGGAATGTTTGCATATATTTAATGAGATATCTTGCATGTGGGATCCAAGTTTAAATACAAAATTCATGTATGCTTCAAATACACATGATAACACATAGCCTAGTGATAATTTTATACAATATCTTTGTGAAAAAAAAGTTTCCTGGTATGGAATTTTCCACTTGTGGTGTTAGGTTGGTGCCCAAAAAATTTTAAATTTGGGAGCACTTCAGATTTTGAATTTCCAGATTAAGGATGCTCAACCTGTACCCTGATGAGAAAATACTGATTTCTAACTCGTTCAACCACTTCAATGCACTTTGCATAAACTGCTTAACTCTATCAATTCAATGACATTCTAATTTCTTATTCATAATGACTAAAGCAGAAAAGATTCTAAATATCTTGTAGTGAAACTTTTCTTCAGGCCAATTATTACACACAAAGTACAACTAAAATTCTGGGTCATTCCCATTTTTACTATAGCAATTATATGGTGACCACCTTTGCACCTTTGCACTTAAATTTAGATAGAAGAGCCTCCTAACTTTAAAAAAAAAAAAAAAAAAAAAAAACATGCTCAGGCATACAGATGCCCCAAGGAAAGCTATACTTATTCCTATATTTCCAAAGCAAAAAAAAATAAATTTTAAAAAATGTTCCCTGTTTTCTTAAATATCTTGCATTTCCCTCCACCTGAGCTATATGAAAGCCAGGGTCCCATTTTACTCCACAGCCTGGGACTCCTCCAGCCACATCACTCGTGGGCAGTAATGACCAGAAATAATATACATATCACATCCCAAAGCCATGAACACACTCTAGGCAGAAATGTGTATATTGAAGCTGGCCCCTGGAGAAAGAAGGCAATGGGATTTATTGGCCTTTTTTGCTCTTACTGTCATTCAACTGAAACTTTTAAAATCAATACTTTCCTAGATGATGCTTCAAAAAACACTGAAATGAATTTAAAGTGCTTACTTTGCTCTTGTCCTCCTGGCACCTTACATAAAAAGAAAACAAATAACCTACATCTGCAGGCTCCACATCCATGCATTCAATCAACTACAGAACAAAAATACTTGAAATAAAGTCATATCTGTATTGAACATTTACACACATTTTTTCTTGTCATTATTCCCTAAACAATATGGTATAACAACTATTAATACAGCATTTACATTGTATTAAGTACAGTAAGCTAACTAAAAATGATTTAAGGAAGATATGCAAAGGCTCTATGCAAATACTATGCCATTTGATAAAAGGGACTTGAGCATGGGCAGTCCTGGAACCAATCCCCTACAGATACCAAGGGACAACTTGTAATCAAACCCAGATAAGGGTATTTGGCATTCTTCCATTTCTGTCATTCAGACCCAGATGACAGACAGCAAATATTACACATCACCAAAAAATATATGCCTTTTTCACATCCATATAGTTGAGAACATACATTAATACACTGAATTCATAGATATAAATTGAGTAGAATCCATCATCTCCAATTGCTTGTAAAGTCAGTCAAGAGAGCAAAGAGAAGGGAAAGAATTTGACCAAATCAATCAACAAGTCCAATGTGAGGCCAGCTTCTGTGTTTCTTCCTTGACCCAAAGGCTTAAAACATAGTCCACGACTCCCGAGTGCCCACGTGTCCTCAAGAGTGTTCTTCAAGTAGCCAAAAACACTGAGCAGGTTTTGGGTGGTGGTGGACTTTTGTTTTATTTTGTTTTGTTTTGTTGGTAATGAAGACTGAATCCAGGGCCTCGTGCATGCTAGGCAAACACTCTACCACTGAGCTGCACTCCCGGCCCCCAAGTTTTTAACAAAATATTTCACTGGACAAACTTTTACTATGCAAGTTGAAACAGAGGAAAGCAAAAGAGAAAATCAATGCATCAGAGAAAGCCAAAAATGATGTGCAAACTGCTAACCAGGACTTATAGGGACAAAAATGAATTACAGAAAGTGAGCAGTTATCCATAGCTCCACTCACAATGTACTGCTTCCACTTAGGGAGGGCCCCGAGAAACTCACCCTTTCAGGGGCATGGGGATGCAGAGCAGAGAGCCCACCCTCCACCCCTGCCACATGTAAACCCAGAAGGGCCTCCTGGGGAAACACAACCACCTCCTGCACAAGAAAGACTGGGCTGAGCGTGATTATTTCTCCCTCATCTCTATTAAAACCCATGAAATAAAAAAAGTGTGCTGAAGCCATAATGGCTATTTTAGTCTTTACTTCCATCTGCATAATAGTCTCCTTGCAGGCAAGATTATTCCTGGTTGAAAAGGGCTGGTTTTAGTTTACTGTAATTTAAGGAAATTTTCTAAAATTTTGTTGCATTTATTTTTTTCATTAATAAAAGGGACCAAAGTATGGCATTGGCTTTCATTTCCACAAAGGACAAGAAAAAAATTAATTCAAATAAAGCTTTTTGTTTGTTTGTTTGTTTAAGCAGGAAATCTATCACCTGATAAGTATTACAATGTTTATTTTTTAAGTGAAGAATAATTTTTGCTCCTTTTGGAGCCATGAGTTAGGCACTAGTTTGTATTGCTTTTGCTTATAAGCATACCTCTACTAGCACAATGGTCTTTCCTGGGTCAGAAACAGATCCATGGTAACCTCCTGCTAGTTTACACAGTGGGGGAAAAACAGGCTTTGGAGTCAGAAGCCTATTCACATCCCAGCTTCATCCCTCACTCACTGGAGGACATTTGTAATGGCTTATGTCACCTCTTCAAGTTTTAGTAGCCTCATATTTAAAGTAGGATTAGAGCAGGTTGGGCATCCCTGATCCAAAAATCCAAAACGCTCTGAGTTCCAAAACTTTTAGGATATCAAGTCATTACTCAAAATGTTTTAGATTTCAGAGTATCCGATTTTGAATTTTTTGATTAAAGATACTCAATGGGTAAAAATCTTGGCAACTATCCCAAAATTCATGAAAAAAAAAAAAAAACTATGAAATCTGAAACACTTCTGGTTCTAAGTATTTCAGATAAGGGATACATAATTGACACAGGGTTGTGACAAAGATGCAATCAGAAAACAGTGCTGAGCATAAAGAAAGCCCTCCATGAACAATGGTGTTGATACAACATTACATCATACCTCTTAGGAACAAACCTAGAAAACAGCTTATGTGATTTCTCCAGTTAAATGCATGGGCAAGAAGGCCCAGATGTGAGATGATTTGCCCCTGGTCTATGCCACAGTATCATGTCACTATGATAATGAAGTCACTAGAGCAAGAAGTTTCCAGGAGCCCTACTTTAGCCACTGCACTGGATCCTTTCCATTTTTCACATCTCACTGAATAAGCCCTGTGGTTCCCATAGCCCCTCTCATTCATGAGATTCAGGATGCTGTTTCCCCAGGGGCAGTCATTAGGGAGGGTGGCACAGGGCTAGCATTCACCGGCCATGTTCAGGAATGGGGTACTACAACTCTTCTTATATGTGCTTTCTTTTGTCTATACTCCAAAATGCAATTTTTAAAAATACTATTCATTTTGCAGGAGGAAGGACTAAGAAGCAGGCGGGGGCGGGCTGGGGGGAGCATGAAAAAAATTCTACTGTGACAGAAGTATCAACCTCTAAAACTGGAACACAAGTGTGTTCTCAGTGCTTAAAAAAAGATTCTCATTGTATCTTTTTTTTTAAAGAATATGAAAAACTCCTTTTAAAAAAAGGCAAGTAATCTAAGAAATGGAACTAACCTTTTCACTGCTCTGTTACCATAGCTCTAGTTTCTTAGCAGGCTATTTTAGCATCATTTATACACACATAATATAACTTTCTAGGCAACCCAGAAAATAAAGTGAGTTATTTGATTATAAAACAATATAATCTACAGCCAGCATTTTTCACGATGGTTAGGAGTTCAATGGTCTTATTCACAGGAGGATTGTATAACTTCTGTTAAGTGAGATTATGCTGACATAACATTGTAAAACCACTGATACATTTCAGCTTCTGAAATTATACCAAGTATGTCACTCTGGTAAGCTTGCATACCCTGAAAATTAAAATTATCATTAAAAGTTAAAGACTGTGTTACTTTCCTGTACCATGCATGGATTTTAAATAGTTTCTTCCTCTTAGTTGAGACTATGTCATTATGTGATTTTTATTTTAGACAGAGTAGCAAGATTTACAAAATTAATCTCTTACAATCACACTTCAGTACTAAGTGATGAAATCCTTACCTGAGGTGAATATGTTTAAAGCTATCCTTCTATTCCAAAATAATTTTTTAAATAAAAATAAATAGATAAAACTGGGGATGTAACTCAGTGGTACAGCACTTGCCCAGCATACACAAGTCCTTGGGTTCAATCCCGAAAACCACACAAAAAAATAATAACAATATTAATTAATAATAAGTAGATGAATACAAATTGGAACAGCAAAAATTGTATTAACCTATATTCTTATATATGTGGGGGGAGTGTCAGCCTTCAAATAAACTATACACTTTAGAATTATAGAATTCAGATGTTTTAAAACTCACCATATGTTTTCAATGCAGACAGTTTATAGAGTATTCCACTATAAAGTGATCAATTCTTGTTTTATTGTATTTCCATGTTTTAAAATTTTTTTAGATTATTTAACTATAGCTGTTTATGGCATACCTATCTTTGAACTATTGGATTATATCACTAGGCTTGGGTGGAGAATGTGGATTTAATTCAAAAGTCTACTAAAGCTCATGCTTTGGAACAAAATCTGGTGAATGTTAGCAACTATGGAAACCTCTTTTCATTTTAAATCATCAAATTCAGAGCAGTGGGAAAAACTGAAATTAAAACTTCAAAACTGTTACCATTCCTGTTAACACCAAAGTATGAGATAATAAT